AGATCTTCATTTCTTAATTGTGTTTGTGTTGAAAGGATTTGCTTTTGTTTTTTGGGGGTCTTTTATGAAAATATTTTTAACTTTTTCTACTGTAGGCAAGACCCGAGCTTCACACTTGGAAGCCAAGTTGTCACGTTATAAAGGACGGAATCGTAGAACCATCAAGACTGGAAGAGATCTTTAAGATCAAGTCCAGCCATCAACTTAGTACTACCACTGCAACCAGTAATGCATATCACCCTGCGCCAGATCCAGATGCCTCTTAAAACACCTCCAGGGATGGTGATTCCACCACCTCCTTGGGCAACCTGTTCCAATGCCTGACCACCCTAACAGTGAATCTTTTTCTAGTATCCAATCTGAATCTCCCCTGTCTCAGCTTAAAGCTGTTTCCTCTAGTCCTCTCACTGTAGGTATGGCAGAAGCGACCAGCCCAAACAGAACAGAAGTGCTCATTTCCTTTCCGTCAGTAGTAGGCTTCTACCATGCAGATTATAGCAGATGTTACTGACCAGGCAGATTTTTTTTGAGTAGTGGAAGGACAGACGTGTTCATGGATGTTCAGCATAAGTGGAACTTTAGAACTGGATCTGATGAGTTTCCCCTTTATATTGTTGTTTCCATACTTTTTAAGTTCAGGGCTTTTTGTTGTTAAGTTTGGGGGGGTTTGGTGTGTTGGGGTTTTTTTTTTTGTGTATTTCTTAATGTTTTTTTGTGAAGAGGAAAAATCAAAGGTGAGCTACTATGTAATACATTAATAAGCACTCTTGGCTTGTAGAAGCATTCCTACACTAAATGCTGCTACCTAAAGCTGTTATTTTGAGAATGCAGTAACAAAAACTGTCAGTTGCAAGACATGTGCAGATGCTGTCTGCCTCTGGGATGTGGGAGGATAAGATGGGCATATGTATTAGCTGTTTGGTTTATGTATTGCCTCCTTATTGACAATTGGAGAAAATGCAGACTTTGCTGAACTGTGGCAAGCTTCAAAGGGTTTTGAAGATGTTGGCAAGTCCTTCTTGCAAGTTTTGGTGTCTTCTGTATACTGATGTGGAGACTTTAAACAGCTAGCAGTGTTATAAAGAAGAAGATAAGAAGTTACCATGTCAGGTAGAGTGGAGGAAATGTAAGTACACAGTGTTTGTAGAGTAGTCTTTCTTTGTAAAACTAGAAACTCTCAAACTGATCTTACTCCTAACAGGATGGCAGGACATTGTATAGAAGTACTGTGGCTAAAGAAGTGGCAGATATTTAGCTGAAAGGTCAGAAAGGCTTTAAATGGTTGAAATAATTGTTAGAGCAGGTGCAAATTCTTGTATTTTGGCAGCACCAACATCTTTTCAGAGTAAACAGTGTATAAAGAAAATTTGCCCTGTCTTGATAAATTACCAGAACAAATTAACTCCCTAGCAAATGTAAATTCTAAAAAAAAAATCTTGTGTTCAGAATGTGCTCCTGGTTGCAGCTGTGTGAAACAAGTTAAAAATCATCACCTTTTATTTTCATCATTGATGACAAGGAACATTGCTGTCATATGCCTGATGGAATGGGTGTCTGTGCCCTTGCTAATACTGCTTATGTTGTGGTGAGGTTTCAACAAGTTTCAGATTTTCTGTGATGCTTTTGGATACTTTTAAAAATAATGTTTCCTAGAAGGTCACTAGGTAAAAAAAAAAGTATTTATTTCTCTTGGAATAAGTTTGAAAAGCACTGAAGCCAACCGTGATTAAAAAGGACAGTGACTTCTCAATGTCAAACTGCTTTTCTGTTTGGTCTCCTTTTTTTCTCTCCAGCTGTCTTCATTAATACTTGCTGGTAGTTTGGCTCTATCATAAATCCTTGGAAGAGTTTTCATAACATCATGTTACAAGCTGCTGGTTACTACCAGTGCACAGCAGCTGCAGTTACCCATGTTGAGTGTGAGCTGTACTCTCAGGTTGCATGTGAAAAGCAGCTTTAGCTCACTTTGGGCTTCCATTTCCTCTTGCTCAGAGGGCCATGGTATTTTCTTTTGTCAGGCAGGGGACCTTATGCCAGTCTGTTATCTTTTGGACCAGACTGTAGCACCTGAAGAATGACTGTAGATTTATCATTCTTGGGCACAGATGTCCCAGAATGAAGTAGAGATGTAAATTTAGGTGTTTGGGCAATAACAACAGTGACAGACTTGATAAGAAACGAAGGATTTTTTGATTATTGTTGTTCTCCCTTAGAACTCCTTGGGAAGACACTGGTGTTGTCTCCTTTCTCTTCTTTCACTCATTTGTGTAGTTAGAGCAGTTTGCTGCTGGCTGTTAATCCATTGATTCACATGATGCATCTAAAAACACCATCTCTGCAGCTGGTTTATGTGGGCTGTGACATTTTGCTTGAGGGAGACCTACATTAAAGTAACATTGAGTGCACAGAGTGGATGCATCAAAAGTCAGCTAAAGCCAAATTTGTTTGTTTTTATACAGCTTGACTTCCTTTCTGCTCAGTTTGAGCAGAGATGATTGACAGCTGCAAGAACTTAAAAGTGTTAGAAGACTGTAGAATATTAGCTGAAATGCAACATTGGTGAATGTGAAGTGATACTCGTGGACTACTGTCATGCTCTGTGCTCAGTGATAAGCTGTGAACATTTTTTTAAAGCTGACGAGCAAAATCTTGGGCCTATGTATAGTTTAGTGTCATCAGCTCAGTACTTGGAAGGAGACAAATAAGTTACATGCTGGGAATGATTAAGAAAGGATCAGAGAGTAAGAGAGAGCACATGATCAGACTGTGGATCTGTGACTGTTTTGCCTCTTGTATGCCGTGTGTAGCGCTCACTCTGGCCTCTCTAGGAGAGTATAGAGCTAGAGTAGTGTTATGTAAAAGCAGCAGAAGCAATCAGAGGCATGAAATGGCTTCTTTTGAATGGTGTGCTGCATTATTAAGGCTGTTTTCGTACGTAGATACTACTGTGTGGCAATTAAGCTAACCCGGAGGTAATTTTGAAATTATAAAGTCATCCCTTTAATAGTATACAGAGGGAGTCCTTGCTGCAGGGGCTTTTGTGGATGCTCTGTTTTTGTGATTCTAAGAAGAGTGTGAATGGAAGAGAAATTGATCAAGTGCTACTGAAGTGAAGAATTACCTCCGTCTTGAATGCTTGAGAGCTTAATTCTGGGTGACTAGAGAGGTGTTTAGAGAAATACTGTTTTCTCTTTATCTGTTGTATGGTGTACCTTAGATGTATGTTTTTGGCCACTCTTGAAGGAGGAACTTTGGCATGAGCCATGTGGCTGTTCTTGCTGCATGACAGATTTTAAAATAGTACTGCTTCTGTCTATGGAACCAGGCCCTTACATGCACTCGGTGAGCTAGATGTCTTCTCTCTGCTGACAGTGTTACCTTGTTTCAGAATTTAAAGTGGTGCTATGCAACATGATGGTAATATAGTAGGTGAGGTGGTTAATATTAAATCTTTGGATATTGACACTGCTGCAGGATATGCAGTATTAGTTGTATTCCAGCCTGTACACCTTGCTCCAATTCTGCTGCATATACATCTGTCCTCCCAAACCCAGGTAGAGTGTCTTGTGTCACCTCTGTGCAGGGCAGAGAAGGACTGGAACTGATGGGCAGTGCTTTGCTTGTTTTGTCCTCTCCAAAGAGAGCAGCAGCGAAGTACCCAATGCGTTGAACTGTTGTGGCTGTGGACACTGATAGAACACGCGGGGAATTGTAAAAGCAGAAGGCTTATATTGCTTCAGGTGGAAAAGCAAAAGGACTTCAGTGCCACTTTGAACTGTAGTCTCCATCACGGTGTAAATTTTCTAAACAGTAGATTCAGACTCTGGGAGTATAGGACTAATTAAAAAGAGATGCTAGGGTGCAGAAGCATCTTGTCTGCTGGCCTGGGATTTGCTATTGAATTTTTTTTTCTTCTTTTCTTTGGAATTGATGTCTTGAAATACTGAAGCATGGGAAAACATTTAGTGAAAAACTCAGGGGTCTTTGTGATACGGGTTTGTAGTTGAATTATTTTAAGTGGCTTATTGGAGAACTAGTGTAGATTTCTTGTCATGAACAAAGTTAGGTGGTGTTGAACAGACACTTAACTTGTGCTCCCTAATGTGTTCTTTATTTTCTGGCTGTTGAACTGTGGCAGTTAAAACCCAAGACTGCAGCAGTGCTCCAGTGTTCAGTATTGCAAATGAAGTGCATCAGCACTGTTCACTGAATGTATAAAGTGATGCAGTAATACAGAATCCTGAGAGACATTTGCTGTGAAGATGGCTTTGATCTTTGTACCTTTTCCACTCTAAAATAAAAGTATTGTGCAGTAGTGTGGTGAAAGGAGATTACATGTTGTGGTGAACACTTATGAAGAGAAAATAAACACCCTTGAGCCCATTATGGGTTCAGGTAGCATATGGTAAACAAAAAGCATGCTGAATAACTGGAATACAACCAGAGATTGAATAACTACCTGGATGATCATTAAATGATGTGGAGGCTGTGTAGTATATTACCATGAAATGAAGCTGTCATATGTATAAAACAAGCTAAATTAATACTACTAACAAACTAAAGTAAGGGAGCCTACAAGAGAACTGGAGAGGGACTTTTTACAAGGACAGGGAGTGAGAGGACAAGGAGGAATGTCCTTAAACTGACAGAGGGTAGGTTTAGAGTAGATATTAGGAAGACATTCTTTACTGTGAGGGTGGTGAGGCAGTAGAACAGGATGCCCAGAGTAGCTGTGGGTGCCTCATCCCTGAAAGTGTTGAAGACCAGGTTGGATGGAGCTTTGAGCAACCTGGTCTAGTGGAAGGTGTCCCTGCCCATGGCAGGGGGGTGGGACTAGATGATCTGTAAGGTCCCTTCCAACCCAAACCATTCTATGATTCTCTTTAAAACACTGTATACTAAGCATACTAGATAGAAAGTATTGTGGGTTGCTTTGGTCAAATGTAAGTAACTTTTTCTTTTCTTTTATTTCTCCCACCAACCCCGTTTCTCTTTCTGGATTGTGACTGCACCTGTGTGGACTCGTTGCTGCAATGGTTCAAACTCATCATTTTACTGGACTACTTCTGGATGTATTCTATTGATATCTTCTATCCTGGAAATGACGGGAACGTGTTGTTTACAAAGTAGCTGTAAGTATTACTTCAATACATATGTATTACAGCTATTGTGGAAATGGAAGCAGCATTAGGTAGTAGTAGATTAGTAGATGAACTAAAACTGAGCTTAGGTAGCAGCTGGTTGAAAATCAGGGAGGGATAAAACTTAAGGGGAAGCTCTTGAGAGTATTAGAAACATGAGATCACACTTGGCACAATGGTCAATACAGTGGAACACAGTTCTTTAACAGAAAAGGTATTAAGTAACTTCTTTTACAAGCTGTTGCAGGAATTAAAGAAACTCAACTCCTAGTTTGCTTTGGTCTGTTTAGAAGTAGCACGTTACGAATAAATGCAACCATTTAAAAACCAGTATGTTGAAAGCTTCAATATTAATTGGTGTATCAGAAATCTGAATTTGGCATTGACTTCAGTTCTTTTAAAAGGCTTTTTCCTATGGAGCATGAATGCTCACATTAGATACAGCATTAATGCCCAATGTAGCACTTCATACATCTTCATCTTTCTGGTAAGTATCACTTATATTTCGTTATCTGAAATTGTGGGTATAATTGCTATAGACCCACAGAACAGAGCAAAGAACCCAAAAATTGCCATCTGTTCTTTTTTGGCATTTCATACTCGGCAATCTTAAAGTTCTTAGGAGTAAAACTATCCTAAATGTGGAGCTGTGTATGAAGGAGAAGGGAAGAGGATGATTTAAAACAAGAATTATGTATAAACCCATTGTTTTAAACAAAAGAAGCATTAGCTAGAGTTAATGAGGGGGTGAGTTGTTTCTAGCAAGCATGACACACATTCAAAGGTATGTAGATATTAAAAAATGCAGGTGGTTGACAAGTAGGGTTATAAGGAGTATCTGAATGTGATTAGATACTTTGCATCTGGTTGGGTGAACAGCAGTTGCATATCCTTAATAGTTAATAAGGGCCTGTACTGTAAAGAAGCTCTTTAATGTCTTTAAAAAGCGCTGCGTATTGTGTGATATCTCTGAAGCATTGACTCCTGTTTGGGCATTAGGTTGTGATAGATTCCATTCCTCAATGTAGTTGTAGCAATAGATTGGAAAATTAAAACACATCTTTGGATTTAAAATTCCTGGCTCCTTTTTTTTTTGATATTTTGAAAATCTTTCAGATGAGACTATTGCTGCACCGAAGGCTAAACTGCACCTTCAGAAAGGAGTTTCTTGATGAAACAAGGCAAACATTCCTACTTTTAGAGGAGTAATAGCATTTGTTGCATCGCATGTATTTGAACTCGAAACTCTGACTTAGTCATTGTAGTACTGTAGCTTTGCTTGAGAATAATGGTTTGTTTGCCAAAGGAAAAAGTCAGTTATGTGACTTAAAGCATACACAGTCCATTCATTGACACAATGATCTTTGAGGTCTTTTCCAACCCAGTTGATTCTATGATTTTGAGTAATTTCTTCACAGTTCAGGGCAGCTGAAGTTTTGCCTTTATGGAGGGTTTGTTGCTGCATCAGTGCAGGTTTGGGTTTAACATGAAGGCCTCTGACTGTGCCAGCCAGAAGTAGAGGACATTAAGTTAGTCCCTGTCACTGGAGCATTGCCACCATGACTTGGAAGCATAGGAAAGCTGCAGTCACATTACTTGCCTGTGTTTCAGATGGGCATTGGTACAAAGTTGATTATATTCTAATTTGTTTGCACTTGTACGCTCTTGTGCTTGCACAATTGTAATGTGGTAATTATACCTGCTCAAAATACTGTTAGCATAGCTAAATTTCTGTGCCAATCTTTTGGCTATCCAGTAAAAAAACAAATCAATTTTTCTGATTTATTGTTGCAGTTTGTTGCACTTTCTTGAATGTGGACAGCTTAGTTTGTTGAGAGGTTGGGTACACAGCACATTTCTACAAATGGGAAAATCATGTGAACATTTAGATAATTTAAAAAATCTCAACAAGCAAAGTAGGTATTTACATGCTTTTCTTTTAACTTTTTTTTCCTAAATATCTCTTGCTTTAGCAACAGAAGAACCTTGAAGGATATGTGGGGTTTGCAAACCTTCCCAATCAAGTTTACCGGAAGTCTGTGAAGAGAGGATTTGAATTCACACTCATGGTAGTAGGTAAGTTTCTTTTTTTGTTTTGAGTGGTGATGATTTCAAGTATTTTGGTGTTGTTCTTAAAATCTGTAGTGATGATAGAAGTATGTTTTGCATGATCTCATGTACCCTTTAGACTGGCAAATCTACAGTGTTTAAAAAGAACATGTCTGATAATGCAACAGTTGATGAGAATAAGGAGAGAGAACTGGACAGTTGATACAGTCTTAAGAAAAATGGTTGTGGATCTAGTCTGAAATGTGGTTGGCAAACATGGCAGAAGCAATTTGAACTCGGATTTTCCTTTGAATGAATAAAATGAAGTGTTTTTATGGTTGAGTGCAACATGGCAAACCTTGTACATAAGCAGGCAGCAGGATTCTGTATATCCTGCACTTCTGGGACTGCAAAACTGCGCTACGAAATCCAAGCTTTGCTTTAATCAAACCTTTCTAGTTTGGTTGCAAAGAAAACCAAATGTAAACAGTTTGTTCCCTATGGACGACAGAGAATGGGAAACTATACTTGGTATGAATGAATAACCATCCAGAACAGTTCATGTAGGCTTCACTGGTGACCTAAATTCTCATCTCTCCTGCTAGGACATCTAATTTTTGCTTTTATTTTTTCTCTCCCTTTTGAGTACTTGTATGGTAGTAGATTGTTATTAAGGTCGAGTACATTTGTGTATAACTGATGCTACTGAATGTGTGACCGAGTTTTGACATGCTGATGATTAAAATACTAATAATCATTTTAGAAGTGTTTTATAATAGCCACCTGTCTGTTTGTTGATATCAAGCTTTATCTTTTGCAATTTGGCTTGATAACACTTTGATGTTTTGTCATCGATATGGTGGATATCTTCTGCAGTCATTATGTACATGCAGTGTGTAACAGAATAGTACTGTTGGCAGGGTTAGAAATCAAGGTCAAATTGCTGAAAGCTTATTGTAGATTAGTTATAATTTTCTTTTGATTATAGAAGTGAATTAGAATTTTAAAATTTAAGGGTTGCTTTTTTTGCTTTTGGAACTTGATTACAGGTTCCTTTGTAGTCTAGCATCGAAGTACATAGTTCATTAATTGGTACAAAGCTGTTTAGTCTTAAATAAAGTTGGGTTTTCTGCTATCTACAGAGAAAAAAAGGAGGAGGTGGGGTGGAAACTGTCTTCATAAGTGGTAGATAGTGATGTATTAGAACTGGAGAAAGTCTGTAAAATTACCTTGGTGTTCTTACATTTGCCTGTAGCACAGTTTAAAGCAATTACACTTAAGAGAACTGTAGAAAATTGTTACTGTCAAGAAGAACAGTTGGTCCAAAATTAGATTGAGGAAGAGATGTTGATCAGAAAAATCTTGTTACTTGTTTAGTACAATTTTTCTACTTAGAGCTAAGACTTCTTTCATTTGCATGGAAATTTGTGCCATTGTCTGAAATTTTACTAGGAGAAGTGGCAGTAGCTTCCTAAATTAAAAATGCATCTAATTCTCTACTTTTAACCTCCAAGTATAGAAATCGGGTACTTGAAAGTGAGTGTTTAAGCAAAGTGATGGCTGATCTTTCAGTGCTCGAACTTCTGGGGAGGGGTGGGGGAGAGAAATGATTTTGTTTCATGATGTGCCTGGTAATACTCAGAAAAAATGTGTGTTTTAAATACAAAGATGCAATAGTTTGTGTATTACTCATCACTTGTGTTTTAAACATTGTAATGTAATTGCAGTTAGATTCTTAGAATTGTAATTATTTATTGCTACATTCATTCTCTGAGATAGTGTAGTCTGATTTGGCTTGAGGTCTTGAGCTGACATTATGATACAATTCTGTAATAGTAAATGGAATTATCTGTAGTGTACTTATTAAAATTTAGAATGTAGTGCTTAGCTGTATATGGTCAGCACTGGATGAATAAGGATACTGTGTGTATCAACTCTTGGAGATAATCCACAATACACTCTTACTCTTTCTACTACCAAGAGTCATGTGTGCATGGCTGCCTTCTACCATAGATTGCACAATTACTATTCTGCTGACTGTGTTTATTTGCAGCTACTTTGGTGTCAGTGCATAATCTTTTCTGAAATGAAAAATGAGAAAAGCAATGCTTGTGGTTGCTAAATGTGTACAAAGAAGAAAACAAATCGTGTTTGGGATCTGTGATCTCCATGTCCAGATATTTTCAGGTGTCTGTGAGGCTAATGCAGCTAATGTGTTTGTATAGAAACCGTTTTCCAGTTGTCCATTTAGCCTGGAATTATCAGTTAAACTGCATAGATGCACGTAGTATGGTGTCTGGCTGCATTGTGTTGGAATGAGTAGTATGAAAAGTCACTGGAGTAGTGTTTTGGGGGGACTTCCCTGTTTGGCTGTACTGTCGTGTGTGTTTCTACTCTTGTAGAAACGATTCAGTTTGACAATGTAAGATATTAGTGACTGAGCAAGTAGTAAGTAAAGCATCAAACAGATCTGATGGTGTTTCCAGTAAAAATTTTTGCAGGGAAACAGATCAGTTTTGCAGAAACTTTCTTGTGCATAAAGCATGAAAGTACTCCATAAAATGCGTATTTCCCCAGTTACTGCATTGTCCTGGAGATGGTGTTGCCTACAGTAGTGTGTGGTGGCTTCCTGCTCCTTTGTGGTGCCAGTGAAACTAGAGAATGCACTTTTCAATTTGGGCATGCATAAGGCTGAGTTGTTATTGAATAATCTAGAGCATGGTTTATAGAGTGGGTTATCTGCTCGAAGTGGTCCCATTTCAGCTGTGTGGACAGGTCTGTTCTGTAACTTGCTCTTTGAGCCAGGCCTCCATGAGATTAGTTTATTTGAGGCTTGTAAAGCTATTGAGCTCTTCTTGTAAGTATGGATACTGATTTGCAGGTGTTATGGTGTTTACATTAAATGTGTTTATGAACTATACACGTGCAAGTATAAAAAGTTGAAAACCCCTTTTTATATTTAATGTTTTAAGAATCATTGAAAAGTTAACCTTAATAGAAATTGGTGTTGCTCCATAATACTTACCCATAATAAACATTTCAGCATTTGTCTCATTTAACTGTATGTTTTCTCTAAGTTGCATTGTTTCTTTTGTTAGTATTTATAAATGTTTCTTAAGAAGCTCTAAACTGATATAGCCGTTTGTTTTTGTTATTAATCAGTTGTCATTGGTTATGGATTTGTCTTTAAAAGCTTCATGAGACAAGAAATTTTCTATTAGTTATATTCTCAACAGTATGCTGTGGTTTTAATGATGCTGCTTCTGAAACAGCTTGGTTTTAGAGAATCAAAACTAACAAACACCTCTTTAGAGGATAAGACATAAAGTAGGCAGAAATATGCATGAAACTAAGCTTCATCTTTGATGCTTTCAAAATAAAACATTTAAGCAGTGGTTTAGAGCAACTACTTCTACATTTGAAGTATTAAAGCTCAGCAGTGGAAAAAATGTCAAGTTTGCCTTGGTAGGCATCTTCTTCATAATCTTATGTAATCGCTGTGAGTATTAGATAGTTGTTGAAACACTTGAGAACTCGACATAAATATTTAGTCTGTTTGAAATCCAAAGTGCATTCTCTGTATTTCCCTGCTGTATGGGTGTTTTTTGGAGGAAAGTACATGCTTAATCGGATGCTTAAGAAAAGTTCCAGAAGTAATACCACTGTGGTTAGTAACTCGCACTTAAAGGAAATCTTAATTGTGAAATTATAGTTCTGCTTATGAATATAATTGCACTTGCCTAAGTAGTGTGTGTGTTTTTCATGGGTTTAGTGTAATGAGGTGTGGAACAAATAGTTACTTTTCAGTGTGTCTTCCTTCTAAACACTGAGTCAGGAAATCCCTCTTTTGTTGCTCTTGTATTGAAATGATGCTGGTGATGTGATTTGAACCAACACCCAAGCAGATGCAAAGTCATATTTTTTAAATTATTTTTCTCCTGTAGACTTTATGAGCTTAAGAATAATTATTTGTGGTAGCTTTTCCTAGAGTTATATATACTTTAAGGTGTTCAGGCTTCGTGAATTTTATTAGAGGTTGGACTTTTAAATTTTATGTTATTTAAAATGGTCCTATTTGCAAAGGGCAAGACACAGTCAAATGACTTAAATGACTTTCCAGGGGACCTTTCTATGCAGTTTCTATTTCTTGAGCAACTGCTAGGTAGCTTTGACTTTAAAAGCTGTTTTGAAACTGCTCTTACAGTAAATTGTCTGTTTTGTTTCCAAATTGTCACTTTAGCCTTGTAGGTCACCTGTAGATCGCAACTTAAAGGAAAATGCCATGCAGTAATGTTGAGTGTGCATGTAATTACAAATGAAGCACTGCAAGTGGTTTGGTTTAAACATGGCTTTTTGGCATGGATGCAAAGGAAAGGACTGTATTTTGCAAGACTTGAAGTTGTGTTAAAGAAGCAGCGCACTCTGATTTTAAAATGGTTTTATTGTTGACTGAAGAAAACTTGAACTGGTTTAGTACTGGTATCTGCTGGAAATGGATCATGTTCTGATAAGAATTACCACCTTCATTTGTTCACTTTCTGGGGCAATTTATTTATCAAGCCAGCCAGTGTTACCAGGAGCCTCAGGTCGTCACAGCTGTTTGTCCTTTGCTAGTGTGGTATGCTCTCGCTCAATTTTAAAGCCAGGAACAAAATCATTAAGCATGTGGCAGGATAGGAAGAATAATTAATTGAAAAATAATCTGGGGATGGGCAGTACAATTTAGTAGAAACAGTTGTAGGATCATTCCAGTTCTTACTGATCTGCTGTGATGTGAAATCCTCTTAATTAAGGTTCCAGTAATGTCCCAAATATCACAATATCTGAGTAGGTGTTTGGCCTTTGGTGTGACCTTCATTACTTGGCTCCTTAGGATCTGTGAATTGTCTTTGAGTGTTTGGTGCCTAACTGTGCTATTATTTCAGAGGCCTCCAGTCTCTACTACCACACAGTTAGAACTTCAAACCTACTGGCGGGGGAAAACCAAAAGTGAATTTTTACATGTTGAGTCAGTTCTTGGCTTCCCT